CCTGGAGGCATAGTGTAGGGACACAAAACACACAGCAGAGACATTTCATGAAGTAACAAACCACAGGCCACACAACTGATCACAGATTTAATTAGTGTTTTAATCATTCAATTTTAAATTTGAGCATATGATACAAAAAGCAATGAAATTATTGCTGTAACAGGTCAAGCAATTTCCATTACATGTAGTTCATCCCATTTATCCGTATCATTTACCTTGAGCTTCTGATTAGTGAGATGTTTGTTTTTACTGCATGCATTAACATAACATTGGAATTCTTTTGAAGTTATTTAGTTGTATACTTTGTATCCTTTTTTAAAGAATAGCTTTATTGAGGTATAATTTATACACCATACAAGTTTTTAGTATATTCACAGAGTTGTGCGAGTGTCACCACTATCTAATTTTGGAACATTTTCATTATCTCAGAAAGAAACCTTGTGCCCATTAGCAGCCACTCTCTATTCTCTCCCAGCAAGCACTAGTCTACTTTCTGTCTCTGAATTTGCCTATTCTGGCCATTTCATATCAATGGAATCATGTTTTCAAGGCTTATCCCTGTGGTAGCATGGATCATTACTCCATTCTTTGCATGTATGGACAGTACCACGTTTTACTTATCCATCCACCAGATGGTGGACATTTAGCTTGTTTCCACTTGGCTATTATGAATGATGCTGCTATGATTATTAACATGTGGATATATGTTTTCATTTCTCTTCAATGCACATGTGTAAAAGTTGGAGTACAAAAGTTTTTAATTTTTTTTTTTTCCTTTTTGTCTTTTTTTTGTGTCCGGCAACGGATCGCAACCCTCAGTGTCGCGCCCGTACCGGACCAGGACCGGCAACGGGATCGCAACCCTTGGTGTTGCCCCCACACCTCGCTCAGCCAGTGAGCGGGAACCGGTCTGTATGTGGGATCCGAACCCTCGGCGGGAGCGCCACCGCACTCCCAAGCGGTGCACTGTAGCAGTGCGCCACCGGGCCGGCCCAAAAAAGTTTTTAATTTTGATGAATTCCAGTTTATATGCTTTTTCTTTTACTTTTCTAAGAATTTTGTAGTTTTAGTTCTTTTAGTTAGGCCTGGGATTGATCCATTTCGAGTTAATTTTTATATGTGATGTGAAGTAGTGTTTATACAGAGTTGGGACTTAAATATCTACCTACATGTACTTTGTCTACTTTTTCAAATTTCTTCAATCTTGTCTGTTGCTATGTACTGATGTTTGTTGTTAGGTTTGATTTCTACATGTACACTATTAAAATTTATCCTAATTTATTTTATATCATGATTTGCTTTATAATTACCAGTATTCATTGAAATACAGTACCAAAATTTGGCTTTATAGTTCTTCCATGAAGGACTGTATGAAACCTCATATGTTTCTGTGTTCAATTTTGGAATATTAGAATTTCATGGACAAAATAATATATTTTCCTTCACAAATCACATAAAATAATATTAAAGAGAACCATAATGGAAGTCCTTAACTTTTCTCCTTAAAAAGCACTCTAATAATCTGGGACTGGCAAATACATTTGCTGTCATAAAGCTTTTATTCCAAAGGGGACCCCTCACTCAGAGCCTTCTTGCTGGCACTTTTCCTTGACTCTGCCAAGGTGTTTTTCAGAGCAAATTCAGAAGCCTGAGGGGCTACTGGGGAATAGCACCTGATGGCAGAGTCACCCGGCTTGCTAAGCTCTTGTTTGCATGTACACGTGAGAGTGGATGTTGACATGGACAGTTTGTAGTCACAGGAGAGACTAGAAACAGGCTTTAAAAAGTAAAAATTGTCAAAATTAAGTGCCTAGTTATCTGCAAAGTTGGTTTCCACGAAACATATCTTCGAATATTTTCTGAAACATATCTTTGTATATTTTCTTAAGAAAAAAAATTACCGTGGTAAAAATTCTTTAACTTCTTAGGGAGCTATTTTTATAGTGGGAGCAAATAGTAAGAAAGTGTTTTTAAAGTATGCTTTGCTATCTCATGATTTCATTTTTATTATTCTAAGTGGTGGAGGTGGCTGTATTGTCTTGTGTGGGGCTGTGGCTGGTGAATGGACTCAAGGCCCCTGTGAGCTGACTCTCAGCACGTCTACTAGCAATAGATGTGCAGCTGGGCGTGAGGTTTGTGTTGAAGTGACCTTATCAACTATGTACAGGACATCATGTCTTCTTACATTGAGCCTAAGGATTTGTACATATACTCATAGGGTCCAGATGAGTTTATTTCCTGTTTTTACTTGGCATTGTAGAGTTTTTCCACATATCCACATGATCCTCATATTCATTCTTTCTAGAGGCAATTCAGTGTTGTCATATTGCAGTACTGCCCTGTATTTGGGACCTGTAGGTGTTTAGGATTATCTTGCATACTGCATGTTTTTCTGTTATAGACCACATCTGCACATCCAGGTTTTTGTGTGGGATTACCTTGTCAAAAGTGTGTTAGTTATTTTAGGCTGTTCTTTGCAAATTTTTTTTTCTTTTTTTTTTTGTGGCTGTCTGGTAAAGGGATCTGAACCCTTGACCTTGGTGGTATAACTTCATGATCTAACCAACTGTGCTAACCAGCCAGCCCTACAAATAATTTTATCAGTTAATATAAATACAGGTACTTATGTTTGAATGAATAGTGTTTTTCATTGCTTTCCAGCATTGTATTGTCTTCATCACTATTACTATGCAGTTGTTAAGGCATCTAAGTGGTAAAGCATATTTTTTCATGGAAGATTGTACTTAATTTGCTGTCTTTTGGTGAATCTTAGTTTTAAAACTGGCACCTCCTTTACTATTCAGAGCAGACAGTGCTTCTTATCAGTTGCATTCATTTGCAAATCTGTGTTTATTCTAAGACAGAAGAGAAAGTTGTCTCCCTTTCCCAGAGAACTTGTCACGTGTGAGCTTTTTTAGTTTGCTTTTCCTATTGCTTTTGTGAGATTAACAATCACTCTAGGGCCGGCCCAGTGGCGCACTGGAGAGTGCGGTGCTTGGGAGCGCGGTGGCGCTCCTGCCGAGGGTTCGGATCCTATGTGGAGACCGGTTCCCGCTCACTGGCTGAGCGTGGTGCGGGTGCAACACCGAGGGTTGCGATTCCGTTACCGGTCAGTAAAAAAGACAAAAAGGAAAAAAAAAAAAAAAAACAATCACTCTAAATCAATGTTACATTACAGAAAATGTAGAAATTGGGAGAAGCAACCTTAGTATAACAAAGCTGGTGTTTTGGTGTGGTTGCTTTTCATCATCATGGTCATTTTAAGAGTCAATCTTGTGATTATCTATAGAACATAATTTTGACTCTGTTCTTTTACTACCTAATGTACCATATGATTTTCCCCCATGTTGTTAAACAGTATTAAGTAATATTCATCAAGTGGATGTATTTTTTTTTAAATCACCATTCTCCTATTACTGAGTATTTGTAATTTTGCAAATATATATAAGATTTTTCACTGAGTGTATGTTGGGGTAAGATTGGGGGTGAGTGCGTGCCAGGGTTTATCTCCTTAGGCTGGATTCCTCAGACTGGAATTTCTGGATTAGAGGGATAAACCATCATCAACTGCTCAGACTTTGTTCTTATGGAGACTCTGTTTCCTTCCACAGGAGGTCCCTTTCCACCTCCAAGATTGCAGGTCCACTGCCTCATAAACATAGATCCAGTGTGGAAGTGATGCTTAACTCTGTCCCCAGTCCTCACATTGGAGTCAGAGGTTTATTTTACACCCAACCCTTTTAACAAGAAACCTTCTTAAAAGATTCTTCATACAGAATCCTGTGCACAGCGTGACTGTGCCTCTGTAGACATACCAGTCCATAGAGCGTACATTGAGAGAGTATAGGCAAAAAGGAAGAGCCATTGTGGGGTAGATCTGTAGGTTTTCTCCTTTTGCTTTTGTAATTTTCTGTAATGTTCTTTTATTTTCATTATTTTTTTAAAAGGGGAGGGTATTTCTAAATTGACTTGAATAAATAGGTGAAACAGCCTCCTGAGATGACCTTTGTGAGCGCGGCACTGATTTTCTGATGCACATCATGAAAAACGTTTACCTCATTGGTTAAATTATAGCACGTGAAGAGGGAGCAGGAAATCAGCCCTTGCATGTGGTGTGCTGCTCAGCGCTTGAATGCCTCTGCCCTCCCACTGAGGCCTGGCTGTGTGTGCTGCACAACTCTGCCCATGGCTCCGGGCACGGGAGTGGTGCACCACTTCCTCTGTCTGCAGGAGCTGCTCAGGGGTGCACTCTGAGGGGCACCCAAGGAGGCCTCTCGATGGGCAGGGGTGGGGTGGCCTGTGAAAATTTCAAATAAGCAGAGGAAATGAGTTACTTGTACTGAAAGTTATCCTCACGTTTTGTCAATTTTACTTAAAAATAACTTTTTCTTTTATTCCAAAGGCCATCGCAGTTCACAGGCCATTTACTAGCTTGTTAGTCATTCTGTTATGTCAGTCAAAGCTTCCTGTAACCCACACTTTTTATACTGCAGCTAGCACATTAGGAAAAGTATAACATCAGGGTTTTCAAACTGATGTCCTGGAATCTTAGATATTACAACAACTGTGCAGAAATGAATGGTGTTGGATTCATGTCGGCCTGTAGAACTGCGCTGTCCACTACAGTAGCTACTAGCTGCTCGTGGCTATTTAAATTTGGACAAATTAGAACTTTAGTTCTTCAGTCACACCAGCCACATTTGAAGTGCCAGTAACCACATGTGGCTAGTGGCTACCATATTGGACAGCGAAGATGTAAAACAGAACTGATGTGAGTGTACTGTTAATGCCTATTTATATGGACCAAGCCTACTTGAAATATGACACGGTTATACATATATTTCATGATTATTGCTTAGGGGGAAAAACTGGCCTTCTTTGTTATTGCCATAAAATGTTGAGCAGGTAGGTTGTCTGCTACATTGAAAAGCACCCAGCTGGACCAACAGTGGGAAATGCAGATTTGGAGCTTTCTTGACCTTGGCGTGTTTTCCCTGTAGGAGAACTGCGGCACATCACCAAGCTGAAGCCCTGGAGCCTCTTTGATGTCCTTGTGGAGAAGTATGGCTGGCCCCATGAAGATGCTGCACAGTTCACAGATTTCCTGATCCCAATGTTAGAAATGGTTCCAGAAAAACGAGCCTCAGCTGGCGAATGCCTTCGGCATCCTTGGTTGAATTCTTAGCAAAGTCTACAAATATAGCATTCTGAGCTAGCACATGTTTTCCAGTACATTGGACCTAAACGGTGACTCTCATTCTTTAACAGGATTACAAGTGAGCTGGCTTCATCCTCAGACCTTTATTTTGCTTTGAGGTACTGTTGTTTGACATTTTGCTTTTTGTGCACTGTGATCCTGGGAAAGGGTAGTCTTTTGTCTTCAGCTAAGTAGTTTACTGGCCATTTTCTTCTGGAAACAATAACATGTCTCTAAAGCATTGTTCCTTGTGTTATGTGACATTCAACTGTCATTTTTTTGAACAAAAAATACTTTCCCCTTTGTGTTTTGGCAGGTTTTGTAACTATTTATGAAGAAATATTTTAGCTGAGTACTATATAATTTACAATCTTAAGAAATTATCAAGGTGGAACCAAGAAATAGCAAGGAAATGTACAATTTTATCTTATGGCAAAGGGACATCATTCCTGTATTATAGTGTATGTAAATGCACCCTGTAAATGTTAATGTCCATTAAATATGGTATGGGGACTCAAATTCCAGAAAAGCTATCAAGGCTTGAGTGCTTTGTAGCCTGAGTTGCATGTAGCAGACTTTAACTGCTCTAAGGAGTTGTGCAAACTTTTCATTCCATAGCAGTTCTTTTATGTTGAGTTTTAAACAAAGTGGCTCTGGGTTATAAGATGTCATTCCCTATATGGTACTTGAAAAGAAAAAAAGACATGTTTCCCATTCTAAAATATGCACAATAATTTAGCATTCCCATTCGCGTTTTTGCATATTTTAAAAAATACTTTTAAAAAAAATAGTGATTTCCCTTTAAAAATGTGATGGCCCGGTACCATGTGGTGTTGCCTCCTCCAAGCACTGTAAGTTAAAATCTGCATAGATTAAATTAGACAAGAGAGACATGTTCAATGTGTGGAATGAAAAAATACGTATTTTTTGGGGGGGGAGGAAGCATGATCGCGTTTGTCTAAAACACAAGGTATGGTATATACAATTTGCAGTGCAGTGGGCAGAATACTCCTCATAGCTCTGAGGTAACAGTGATCACTATTCATTCCATAGGCAGCTTTATATGTGGCTACAACCAATTTTACTAGCTTTTTCATTGTCTTTCCATGAATTGAAGTTGAGAAAATGATTTTCCCTTTGTAGGTTGCACAGTTTTGTTTATGCATTTCCTTAAAATTAATTGTAGAATCCAGGACACAAACCATAGTAGGCAATACAATTTTAGAATGTAATATATAGAGGTATATTTAGCCTTTTTTAGAAGTCAGTGGATTGAATGTGTTTTTATTTTAAATTTTACATTCATTAAGGTGCCTCGTTTTTCTTGACTTTGTCCATTAACATTTATCCATATGCCTTTGCAATAACTAGATTGTGAAAAGCTAACAAGTGTTGTAACAATAATCCATTGTTTGAGGTGCTTGCAGTTGTCTTAAAAATTAAAGTGTTTTGGTTTTTTTTTCCCCAGACATTGCCTTGGTTATTGCCCTATGTTTGCAGTAATAGAATCAGTGAACATTTGCTATTAGTTTAGTGTCACCAAAACATTCCTGTTGCAGCAGATGTGGTTGTAGGACATGCATAAGGCTTACTATAAGGAAATCATGTATTGTTTTTTAAGGGTGGAAGAGATTTAGGGAAGATGCTAGATTCATTATCTAGACTTGCAGTGATTCCCTTTTCATCCATGTTTCATCAAAAACATACTAATTGCATTTTGTCTGAGCATTGCAAATTTTTTTTTAAAAAACAGCATTCACGGTGAGGGAACAAGACACGTAATCCTTTTAGGAATTATCATTATATCACATTGCTTTGAGGTAAAATGTACCATTTATAAAATGTGCATGCCGAGTTTTTCTAATGAGGCTGTAGGTTACCGTGTAGACTCTGTGACAGATGGTGGCTGTAGACCAGTGATGCTACCTGTGATTTCCCTAGGAAACATTCTTACAAGAACCACAGAGTACATTTATATCTTCCCTAAGTCTATAAGAATTTTTACCAGGGTGGTAGTACACTTGAATAAAACTTGTCTAATGCGTGTTTAGCTCATGCTGGAAAATAAACTAAGTATGAATTTTTAAGGGTGTGTCCCTTAAGATAAAACAGCATAACTATTTAACAGTGTAGAAGGAATTGTTCTAAAAGGAACACATTTGTATTAGGTTTTAGCAGAGTCTTGGTTGGTGGCTTGTTCATAAAGAATGCACATAAGCTAAATTAGAACCACTGGTTATGCTAAACATTATAGCCAGGTTGGTGATTTTAGTTGAACGTCCTATCTTTGCATTTCTCTAGTCCATGTGAAGTCTTCATGGAAAAATGACAAGCAGTGGATTGCATATGTGATTATAGCAGATTCAGAAGTGGTTATCTGGAAACTTGCAGACAGACTGCCCAAAGGCAGAGGAAGAGTGGATATAAGAGCATCAAAAGGCATAAACTTGTTAGGTGAAAACTGATTTACTAACTTGCTTCTTCTTGTGCCTAGACCAGGCATAACTAGTTAATGGGATAAAGTAGGGAAACTTTCCGTTTGGAGTAGAGAACGTCACTTTGTACCTCTGCAGTTCAGATTATTTCTTAAATTCCACTTTTTAAAAAATAACTTTAATGAAATTTTGGTAGAGGACAGTATTTGAGAGTATATGTGTCCTTCATCAAGGAATCAAAGGATTATATAAGATTCTGCAATTTACCCAAAAGCTTCTGTATATGATTTGTGTAGTAGGCAGATTTAAAACTGAGGAATTAAGTGCTTAGACGGATAGTCCTTTTAAAAGGTGGATATTAGGGCCGAGCCCGCGGCGCACTCGGGAGAGTGCGGTGCTGGGAGCGCAGCCAGCGCTCCCGCCGCGGGTTCGGATCCTATATAGGGATGACCGGTGTGCTCACAGCGCTCACTGGCTGAGCGCGGTGCGGCTGGTCTCAAAAAAAAAAAAAAAAAAGGTGGATATTAATATTTTGCATGCTAGTTAACTTTGTTCTATGTTTGAAACTCTCAGGCTATGGATGATGTAAAGCCATTTCTTTTCATAGAAATGTTTCTTTAGTGAACACCATAAGTAGAATTTTATTTGACAAGTCAAGAATGGCAGAATTGACCTACATTCTTCTAAAACTTGAAGCCGACTGGAATTGAGCCCTAAATGAGTTATTAATGCTCCATCTTTAGCTAATTTTCAAAAGGAAATGGAAATTAAAAGTATAAAATATGATTTAAATTACTACCAAATCTTAGGCATTGTCTGTTTACTTTTTTTTTCTCTGATGCACAAAATTTGTATACTGTGCCAAATTATGTCAAGAAATTGGATGATAAAAAATGTGTTGATGGGCCGGCCCGGTGGCGCACTGGATGGTGCGCCGCTTGGGAAGCGCGGCGGGACATTGTCTCTTTAGTATTGGATGTACTTAGTTAATCCTCCTGAGAGGTAGAAGATAGATAGGAACTGGGAATTTTTTATTTTCCCAAAATTATAACTAGCATTTTGAATTTCAGCAATAAAATGTTCACTTGAGAGGCCATTTTCATTTTACTTAAGAGATCTAAGAATAATGCCTTTTCCCCTTTAGTTTTGTAACCCAAAACAGATTTAAAGATATTTCCCATGACTTTTTAAAGAAAACTCTATAGCTAGGTATTAAATGTTAAGGTTTTCAAAATTATTTTGATTAATAGGACTTTTCAGTTGTGTTCTAAAATGTACAAATTAGATGTTGCTGTGTTTTAGGCCACCTACCCATATTTCCAAACAGTTGTAAATTATGATCTGTAACTATCATGTGGAACGCATTAGTGGTTTAGATGCATTTTGTATGATGTCAGATACCTGAGTAAACTTACATAGCATGATTATCTAAGTAGTTTCCTCTGCCTCTTACTACTGCAAAAATGGCAAGTAGGAACTATTACGGGGACCACCCCTTTGCCTCCTGATGCCTACCTACCATCCAACAGAGGTAGTAGTAGTAGTAGCTAAAGAAAATTGAAGGCTTCTTATGAATTATATTTGAAAACTGTAACTTTCATAAAAGCACACACCTGAGCAGACCCAGACCGTAGAAGTTGTACAGGACAATTTGATAAAACTGACGTAATTGTGATTTATTAACATGAATTAAAATGCCCAACCAGTGCTTCAATGTGACAGTATATTTAAAATAAAAAAGAAATTAAAGGTCATATACTGTACTACTTTCACAAAGGTCACACAGTGTTGCAAAAGACTTGTCATATGTACAATGCTATATATCAAATGAGAAAAGCTGTAAGCAATTATATATGCAAAAGAAATGCAGTATTTACAGTTTGTCAGGAGACATTAGAAATCACCTATACATTAAATTACATTTTGCTTGCAAATAACCAGTAAAACAAAATAAGCCATGTTCACACCAAACTATAAAAATCTGTATTGCATTTTTATACCTAAGATGCACTCACAAAACTGACAGAAAAAAAAAAAATCCTCATAGTGCCATTACTTAGCTGTGTACTTAATGCATATGTATAAAATAATATACAAAACATTCACTAAATGAATTTAACTGCAACAATAAAATTTAAAGATCATGTAGCATCAAAGCTGCTGCCAGAAAAACAGCTGGAATGTTCACTTACTTACAAAATAAAGATACCTAATATTGGCTTAACAGCACATTTTTAAAGGAATTTTAAAAAGCAAAAATGGGATAAACACAATGAAAGAGCACTGGTTTTTTTTTTTTTTTTTATACAAAGTTTCATGTACAAGCTTTAAAAAGTACCTTAATAGGTACATATGGAATATACAGTTTATCTTACAGAACATTTAAAAAAATGTTTTTGGAGTCCATTTTAATGCCACCCTGAACCATGGTAACTGTTCTGAAATGTTGGTGGCACCTGTGCTCTGTGAATTGGAATCTGTCCAGGCACTGGAGATGCCTGCTGAGGTCCTTGAACCCCATGTGGCAGGGCCACAGAGCCAGGATGAGGACAGAACCCTGAAGCAGTAGGTGTTGGAATACTGTTTGGTCCTTGGGGCTGAAGATGAGGACCTGCGACTGGTAATGGACAATGTGGCCCTGTTCCAGAAGGCTGGTGCTGGGGTCCCGGTCCCAAAGTGGTATGATGTGTGGCTTGTGAGGGATACGGTGGTACAGCTGGATGGGCACTTGAAGGAAAAAGTGGAGGTCCTTGATGAGGTGGGTGGTGTAAGGCTTGACCCGATGTGGTATGATGCCCAGAAGCCAAAACACTGGACGGCGGCGGAGGAGGTGGTGGTGGGGGTGCTGAATTTACAACATGCTGGTGTTGTGCTTGTAGACCTTGGAGTCCTGTGGAAGGATGGGGTGGTGGATGGTGATGAGGGGCAGGACCAGGCGGTGGAGGGGGTGGTGGTAGATGGTGTCCAGCAGTTTGAGAATGAATATGAGACCCAGGGGTGACAGTATGAACAGGTCCTAGTACATGTGCTACAGAGTGTTGCTGATGGGAATTGGGCTGTTGTACGAGGTGTGGTCCTGGAGCGGGTGGTGGCGGAGGAGGGGGTGGGACTACAGCAGCAGCAGTTTGATGGTGAATGGTAGGGTTCTGAGAGGGCAAAAAATGTCCTGGAGTAACATGGTGTCCTGGAACTGTTGGCTGGCTTGGGGTGCCAGGAAGTGCTTGATTTGGTCCTGATGTAAACACAGTTTGTTGGGAAAGACTACCTTTGAGCTGATTATAATTCTGAAAGTTTGCAGAGGGCTGCTGGTTTTGATAATAAGATGAAGAAGGAGGTGGAGGGGGAGGTGGGGGTGGTGCCGTACTGTTCAGATTTTGTTGGTTAAACTGACTATATGTTGCTGAAGATTGTCCTGAGGGTGTCTGGGTAAATAATGCTCCAGAAGTTGCCTGCTGAGTATTGGCTGGAAGGTTCTGTGTTGCTGGATAAAAACTTCTCTGAGGCTCTCGCTGAGGTGTCCCACCTTGAGGTGACTGTGAATGATGAGGCCTGTAGGGAGATCCTAACTGCTGTGCAGGAGGCTTTGGTGAAAGATAACCGTGCTGTACAGGGGTGTGAGGTGTAGAGGACTTTGGAGGATTTTCTATGTGAGGTGATGGAGGACAGTGCAACTTGGCTGGTGCAGAAGGCAGCTTTTGTGAAAGTTGCTCAGATGAATTGCGAACATGTGGCTGAGGAGGATGATTCTTTGAAAGTGCTTGGGTGTTATTTGATAGCTGTTTTTGTTGGATCTCTGTTTTTAGGTGAACACTGTTCTCAGCTTCTGATACAATAACTGTTGCCTCCCAATGGGGATCTGGTTTTGTGAGTACTTTCCCATGTGGTTGAGCAGGAATTACAGGTCCCGGTGAACCAGGCTATGAAGAGAAAACAAATCATATGAACTTAAGAAACATTTTATGTACCCTGAGGTTAATTCTTGTTGGTATTTAATATTATTTAAATACTGATTTTAAAAGGGGGCAGGAAATAAT